TAATGATATGAGTTGTTCATCCCAAGTTACAATGCAAAATTCTGCCATCAAAATAGTCAAATTTTACCATTTTCCGTGACATTTTGTTAACTTGTTTCCCGGAAAATGGTTCAAAGACACATCTTCGTTCCCACTTTTGTATCGTAAAGGCATTAACGAATATTGAGAAGATAATGTTTATTCAACAAGTAATAATTTTACATGGTATTGATAACATCATAAAAATTATAAAAATGAATATATAATAAATTAGAAATATATACAAAATATATATAATAAAGAATATATGAATAAATAAAGTTTAAAAGTATGTTAATTGGGGCGAAAAGGAAATCAGAAAATAGCTTAGAGCTGGTCGAGTCTGATTTCCTGTGATATTTCATGTGGCATTTGGGAACAACACAATAACAAAAAGTAATAACAAACAAACAAAATAAATAAATAATAAGCAAATTATAATAATTTTACAATAAAAATTATTTGAAAGATGTTTTAATGACCTTTGAGAGAACATTTTTTTTTTCAAATGTTCATTAATTTAAAACCAGTTGCTATATTAAAATCTTCGTTCCACCCTCAGTGGTCATGGAAACTGTAGATCTAAAAGCTGAACGTGCCTCGCTAGTCATAAATAAATGCTCATCTCAGATCAATAAGGTATTGGTCGTATCTAGATCGTAGTTATTTTTCTCAACAGGTGAACCAAAGATACGATCATTTATCAGCTGTCGCTCTCACCATCACCCATCATCCCTCTTTATTCGATATAAAAACTATCTTGCATTGGTGCCACAATCAGCATATATACCACATGGCATCCCACATTACAAGGCATTTCTTACAAATATAACACCTACTATTCTTTGCTGATTGGTTGAAATTCTTGTCAGTAGACTACCCAGTCTTTGTGTATACTGGGTATATTTAAATTCAGTAATATATTCTATTAATATACAACAGGAGGTCTGAGTACGTCTCTTGCTGTTGTAAACAAGTGATTGTCCCATCTCGTCTCGTTTATAATAACATAGAAATCCGCTACACATTCAAAATTCTCGATTACACAACACATTTATATACACTTGGTGGTTTATTTGAATAATTTTAATTAATTACCATTCTGAATTGCCAAATGTACGGAAGCTTCTCGGGGCCACGCTTTGTGAAAATTAAAATATATATATCGTTATTACGATGTAGCGAAGTTCATTTTTCGAGAAAAATAAAATATCTCGTTATTACGACGGAGCGTTTTTCAGCCCTTCTGTCTTTAGTGCCGTGCGGCTCAACT